GCTCTCCTGGACTGGCCTACCCGAGCTGACTGCTCAAGACAGTCTATCGAGCTATTTTGAGTGCTACATCAGCAACTATAACTCAACAATATAGCACATGCAAAGCAACGAGAAAAAACATTCTCATAAGTGAAAAATCACCATTACAATAATCTAACAACATAAAACAACTTTTCATCAACAAAAAAAACCCCAACAGACCTGAACAACTCTAGATTCTCTCAATACTAAGAAGATGCAATGGTTGACGGCAAAGGAGCGAAGATCAAAAGGGTTCTGGCTTCGATCAATGGACAGTGGCGACCATCGAAGGTTCTGCACGGAGTCCAGCACGGCGGCGGTGTTCGTGATGGTGGGCGACGACTGAGTAACATCATTTAGATCTTTGAATTCGGCGAGGTTTGCAGCTGGAGAGCGACTGTGGACCGTGGTTGGGGAAAAACTCCAGCGAGCGACTTGCACCATGAGCATTACTAAAGTTGTTGTCATCAGCAGCGGAAATGGCGTGAGGCGAGCGACAATGGTCATACCGTTGACCCTGATCAGTCAAGCCATCAGTGAGCAGACAATGACCACTATGCCAAAAAAGGCTTCAGATAGTGCTTTTTTTTTGCTACAGATAACGCTTAAAAGCGTATCAGTGTTATCTGAAGACTGATCTCTCAGATAACGCTTATAAAGCGCTATGTGAAGAACCATTCACATAACACTTTTTATATTAAGCGTTATGTGAAGAACCTTTCACATAACACTTTTTTATATTAAGCGTTATGTGAAGAACCTTTCACATAACACTTTTATATTAAGCGTCATCTATAATATTGATCAGATAACATTTTTTAACATAAGTGCTATCTGAGATGATGATAATATATAACACTTCTCTAAACAAGTGTTATCTATGTTTATATTTTTTATATGTTTTTTGTGCACATTAGCCTCCTGTTCTAGTAAACAAGAACCCAAAAACCAAGAAGCAAAAACCAACAAGAAAACAATTAAACCATGAATATAACAAAAACTTACTACATAATCCACCAATTTTAACATTGTACTAATGTATGTACAAGCGAATAATGTACCACAAGAGAATCGTATCTCCAATTCCAACAAATCAAGGAAAACAACTAATATACTCCTAGTAAAAAATTCGTCCACTATTAGCCGATATCCTGACTAAGAAAGTTTTGATGACATCCCCCTGCATCATGAAAGTTATACATATATTGATATCAAAGTCATTTCATCACAGCTTATAAACAATATATAAAGAAATGTAATACAAGTATAATAAAAGACATACCTGTTAAGTACGAAAATGATGTGCAGAAATGTAATACGAGTATAATAAAAAACATACCTGTTAAGTACGAAAATGATGTGCAGAAATGTAATACGAGTATAATAAAAGACATACCTGTTAGAAAATGATGTGCATGTATCTGCCGGAATTACACATTGAAAAGAAACATCTCAATCATTATCTATTAATTCTATTTCGTAATAGATTTGAAGTTTAACACAACAATAACAACAAACGAAACGACACTAGTAGAGTTTTTATCTTACACAACTGAAGAACATATTGTGCCCATTCTTTCCAACCATCATTTACTTGCTCCTTAGATAATTGAACGCACTTGTAACGAGGAAAGTACAACAAAATATAACATTATTAATTAGAGTCTAACCAAAATACCAAAAAATGAGTGCATAATAGAATGACAAAAAAATGAGCTTGGGCAAATATGAAAAAATACATATCTTAGGAAAACACACAGTATTTTTCTCTCAACAAGGCACTAAACCAACAAGGCAACTTTGTGCTCCTTGGTACCCCATGGTAGTTTATTTCTGTACAAAGTTTGTGTCTACCTTTCACATGGATTATGCATAGTTTATCTAATATTCATGACAACACCCATCAAGATATCCAAAAAAACCTAGCACTGAGTACAAAATGATTTTTATTGGAAGAGAATGAAGCCAAGGATTAGAGAGAACTTGGCAGCTTGACTAATCTGTCAAAGCATTAAAGCTCGACATTTGAGTCCGATTGGCGTTGGCCCATTGCAAACCCCTAGAGTTATTCTTTTTCTCAAACGATAAACTGGGGTACCTGAATGTGGTAAATTTATTGATTCAACATGGAAATCAACGATTAAAGTAGTAGAGGGAGAGAGACACACACACCAGGCAACTGCCATCCAACTAGTTGGTGAGAGGTCTACACTTCGCAAAGACATTAATCCAGGGTATCTTTGGGATAAGCTACTACTCTGCCAAGCAAAGATAAATCAACGGTAGGACTAATTATGAAATCATTTTCAGCAACTCCAATCACTAATTAAGAAAGAAAAAAGAAATATCAACACAAGAAGACGAGAATATATTCTACAAGCAAAAATGTTAAATCGAATGGAATAAATACAATCTATAATACACAAGGATAGTATTCTTATTAAGAAAAGAAGAAGAATGTCGACATCTTGTCAAAAGTGACACATCTCTTACCTATACAAGTATTTTAATAAAATTATCCTTTATTGATTCTTTAGTATTATAAGCAATTGAAAAAAAATTAATAAAAAGGAGAAAAATTCATCAATATCCATCTAGCAAGTACCTTGTCTGTTAGAGGAACCCTTCCATATGGAGATGATGGCTCAAAGTATTGAAGGTAAGGATTACCCAGTCTTTCATTTGGACGCCAGAAACTATCCTGCTCGACTACTCATTCCTCAGAAGAACATCCATCCCACCTCCATAACTTCTCACATTCACTCTCCTCACTGAATGAATCACTAAACGAGTCCCTCATCTCTCTTACACACTCAGTCTCATACCTATTATCCCAAATACAAAAGTGAAGCCTCACACCACTCACATATCTCATGAAAATATACACTGTTAATTATGCTTCATTAAACAAATAATAGCCACATTAAATTTTACCAAGAATATCAGTCAACCCTGTACAAACTTAATCTTGAATTGTAAAATCACCAGCTAACTAGATCAGATTATCTCAAATTTAAATGTAAAAAAGAACAAAGGGGAATTTCGCAATAACCAATACAAAAGATGCATTTTTTTTATCGATCTTGGTGTGCTAGGGGAAATTCATTAAGCTCCATGGTTTACTCACGCCCCAAATTAAGCATAGTTTTACATATAAAAAAAAAGAGGTGCGAAAACAACAAAAAGCCAAAACGAAAATAAACCTGAAAAGGAATGGTGAGGCGAGCTAGAGGAGCAGTACAAGTCTTGCTGAAGGCCCCAGCTATGCCGCTAGCGAGGAGCTGCGGGACCGTCCCGATCTGCAATATCTGAGGCTGCTGCTGTTGCGGTGGCTGTCGAGCGCGGTGGTGGCGAAGCAACTTCCTCGTGGCGGATGAATTTCTCTAGGAATTGTTCTTATTGGTAGGAATTGAAGATGAAATTCTTCAGGAATTGGTAACAAGTCGGAAAGTAGGGTTCTTCTCTCTTTGTTCTTCGTCCAGTTTTTACATAATAAAGTTTGTACGCGTACAATTTTTTTTTTTTTAATTTTGATATATTTATTTATTATAAAATGGACTTTATAATATTGGAATGGGAATGGGATGAAGAGTTATAAAACACTATTTAAGTTTTATAATTTATATAACACTTGTTAAAAGAGTGTTATAATATGAATAAATGTTATAACTTATATAGCATTTTTAAAAGAAGTGTTATAATTTATATAGCACTTGTTAAAAGAGTGTTATAATATGAATAAGTGTTATAACTTATATAGCATTTTTAAAAGAAGTGTTATGTAATGTTAATTGTCTTATAGCGTTTGTTAAATTAAGTGTTATCTAAGAATTACGTACTTTTTACATAGCACTTATTTAAAAAAGTGTTATGTAAAAAGTGTTATCTGAAATCATTTTTGGCGTAGTGGACTATGCAGGCTTGAAAATTCGTTGATGTTGGTCTCTGAAATTTAGGATCGAGATAAGTTGGGTTGCATTCGGGCCTTTCGAGCGCCAATCGTGTATGGGCCTATCAAGATAAGCTAGGAAATCACTTAAATTAGGGGCTAGGTTCAAGTGGAGAATGGGGATGCCATTCGTGTATGGGATTCACCTTGGATCCCTACAATTCATTCTTTCACACCCTCACCTCATTTTTTGGGAGATAGAGAGATATTCAATAGAGTAAGAGAGCTTATAAAACAAATGAGAGAATAGATGGGATATGGACTTAATTTTACATACTTTTTATTCTTTTGCTGCAGAAGCCATATTGAAAATACCCTTAAGTCAGTGTGGGCTCAGAGTGAAGTTGATATGGCATTGGAGCAAGAAAGGTGATTTCTCTGTTAAAGTTGTGTATGAATACCTAATGTCACAGGTTGTAAGGACTCAGTGGGAAGGGTACTCTAGCAAATCTGGTAGAGGAGTGGAAATAATGTGGAGGGAAACTTGAAAACTAGAAATGAAAAACAAGATTAAAAATCTCCTGTGGAGAGCTTGGTTTGGATTTCTAAGCACTATAAATTAACTTGCAAAAAAATGGATGAAGGGGGATGTGAGATGTGAGATCTGTGGAGAGGATAATGAGGATCTAAAACCTCTTCTTCAGTTATCAAAGATCTGAACTGTGTTAGAAGCTGATTGGAATCAAGGGACTGGAATGGATCAAACGCAGTTTACATTGAGAGACTGGTGGCACTCAATTTGTACAATTGGGAGGGAATAACTAATAGAAATAGTCTTTCATCCTACCTTCTATGGTGGTTATGGAAGACTAGAAATATGTGAGTGTTTCAGAAAGAATGGATCAAGGCAGAAGACATAGTAAAATGAGCTAGAGGATAATGACTGTAATACTTAGAGGCCTATGAATGTGGAGAGATGAGTCTGAGAAGATCTAGAGTTACTAGGTCCCTGCTTTTTGAAGAGCCTGGTTTAGGGGTAGGACGGGCTATTCCTATTAGTGCCCACTCTTCTAAAAATGGGAAGCTAAGTATGGGAGGGACACTATGGGATGAAGGAGCTGTCATCTGTAATTGGTCTGCAGCCATGGATTTTACAGGAACTCAAGAGGAAGCACTCATTATGACAACCAGATGGGCTCTGATGGAGGGCAGGAAAAGAAGGCTTGAGAAAATTTGTTGCTGCTTGGGTAATGCTAATTTGGTGAAGAAACTTATGGACAGATCTTCTTTTCCTTGGGGGTACAATGTGGTGGCAGATGATGTGTATCTTTTAGTGAACTCCTTTTCTTCGTGTTCTTTCTTGTTCAATTTTGTTGCTTGTGTTCTAGTTTGAATTTAGCCAAATTCGCTTGCATGGAAGTAGTCCATTATTGGCCCCAGTTGATACTAATCTGGCTATTTGTTTGGCTGGGTTGGTGTTCGAACTTGAATTGATTGCACGAATTGTATTTTTTTGGGTAAATTGCACCAAATCTCCCTGTGTTATACGAAATTGGCGCGTTACTACCCCGTATTTTAAAAAAATGCGTTACACATCCTTATATTTTAGTAATTGTTGCATGATTGCCTCATTCTGTCCAACTTAACGGTGCGTATACAACACCTTCCATTCCTGGGAAAAATTTTTAATTTTTTATTTATAGAATTATTACTTTACTTTTATACCCTCATGAGTTTTGTTGAGCAAACTAAAATTTAATCAAGGGGAGGAGTCGAACCCGAGTCTCAAAGAAATAAGCTTGCCCATTAAACGACTAGGCCATATAGATTCTTGTGTAAGAATTGAACACAACTACATTTATAACATCAACTCCAAACAAATTAATAAACTAAAATAAAATAAAAATATATCAAGTAAATTTCATATAAATTAATTAATAATAATAATAATAATAATAATATAAAAATGAAAAATAAATGAAATTAGAGTAAACTAGTTAAAATATCATAAAAAATTTAATATAAGATAATAAAATATATAAAATGGTAAAGTAAAATAAAAAAATAATAAAGAAAAATAAATTATTATAAAATAATATATTAAAATCAATAAGAATCTTAAATTAATATATTGAAATTAAAAATATTACTTATCAAATATTTTTAGTATGATTTACTCTTACATACATTATGAATTAAAGATTAGAAATAAATTAACATTTTTTAGTAAACGATTTAATTTGAAATAAATAATTTTAGTTTCTAAATTTTATTTAGTAAAATTTAATTGAATTTTATGTCATAAGTTAAACAAAATAAATATAATTTTAATATCATTATCTTTTAAATTTAATTTGATTTATACATATATAATGTCTATATATATCAAACATTCTTAAATCTAACACTCATCTTTGTGGGGTGGTAGCAATGTTCCTATTCTTCCATGAGGTGTCAAGTTTGAAACCCATGGTCTGCAAATATTTTTTGACCAATTTCTCGCGATATTTTCAAAATATCATGATAAATTTAATTAATCATAAATATATATAAAAAATTCGTAAGGTATAACGGAGTTTTCGCAATAAAATTAACATTATTAAATGGAAAAATGAAAAAAGAGAGCGTGTGCATCAATTCGTTAAACACATTTTTTAAAACACATTTGTATAATATAGAGGAATTTGATGCAATTTACCCGTATTTTCTTATGAGTTTATGAATGTTTGTTGTTGCCTTGAAAAATAAAAAATTAGACTTAGTAGATTTAGTATTTCATTAGTTAAACAATCACAAGGTTAGCATTAATTAGACGGTAATTAAAATTTAAAACTCCAAGCATGAGTCCCACATAAATCCTTTCTTAATTGCTCAAACCCCCATGATGAAGTACGCAATTTTTGATTAACTTTAGAAAAAGTGCTTGTTACCTACCCACACGTTGATTCTTTAAATCACGAAATTACCCTTCAACTAGAGGATCATTATTCATTAGGCGTAGAGCTAGCAAAGTCATTTCAGTAAATATGCATGCTGTGCGCCTCATATATAAAAGCGGCTCAGTACAAAACTTTCAAACACTCCACCCGAAGCTGCACGCCTCTACGGTGCGCAACCCTCAAGTTCTCTCCAGTTAAAACCACTGTACAAACAGCGGCCGACGAAAATTACTATGCCGGCAGAAACCCCAACGACGGCGACAGAAGGCGGTAGATTCTCCACTCTGCACCCAGATATAATAAAATACCACGTCCTCACCCGCCTGGACGGACCCTCCCTCGGCTCCGCCGCCTGTTGCTCCTCCACCCTCCGCCACCTGTCCTTTTCCGACGACCTCTGGTCCTCCATCTGCCGCTCCACGTGGCCGTCCACCGCCTCCCCTCGGCTGAGCCGCCTCATCTCCACCTTCCCAGGCGGCGGCGCCCGCGCCTTCTTCTCCCAGGCCTACCCCATCCTCTCCGACGCCGGACGCCGCAACGGCCGGCCGCCGCCGCCGGAGCTGATCTCGGCCGTCGACATACACTTCAACGGCGAGCTGATATTCTCGAAGGTCCAGGAGACGGAGACCGATTCCGACTGGTTCCGGTGCTCGCCGTTCAGGGTCGACCTGCTGGAGCCCAAGGACGCCGTCCCCACTCCGATCAGGCTCCCGGCGGCGGCGGAGGAGGACTGCGCGGAGGTGGCCGGCGGCATGACGCTGAGCTGGATCCTAGTGGACCCAGCCGGGGGCCGGGCGGTGAACCTGTCGTCAATCCGGCCGGTGGGGGCGCGCCGCCACTGGCTGACCGGAGAGGTGCAGGTCCGGTACTTGTCTGTGGTGGCGGCGGCGCACGTGCAGTGCGGGGTGGTGGTCACGTGCGGGGAGAAGGAGGGCGGCGGAGGGTTGGTGCAGGTGAGGGAGGTGAGCCTGGAGATGGAGGATGTGGACGGGACGCGCCTGAACGGGAGGGACAGTTTGATCTTTCTGCAGGGGGCGCTGGATGGGGGAAGGGGGACGGGGAGGAATCGTGTGGAGGAGGGTCTACGGAGGTACGGTGAGTACGTGGAGATGAGGAGAGAGAGGAGAGAGAGACGGATGAGGAGGGAAGGGGTGATGGACGTACTGTGTGTCGCGTTTGGGGTGTGCGCTTTCCTCTTGTTTTGCTGTTTTCTTGTGTGCGGATAGGGGTAAATATGTAAATTATGGATTGCATTGTATTAGTGTACCATCGCTTAAATTATTAGGTAATCCAATAGTTATTTTTCAACCATATTTTAAAATACAACGTATACAAAAGCTTGATATTTTTATAGTAAAATTATTATGTAGATTTATTTACAAAATAATATGTGTCAAGTCATCATTTCATCTAATAGTTAAGCAGTAAATTAAGGCAAAATTACTGTCTACAGACTTGCATCTGTAATTTTTTTATTTTTGTGGAGACAGCTTATAGGGGCAGCTCGGAATTAGGTGAAGGTTATTTCTAATGATGAATAATACAACGTATACTTGAGTGCTATGGATGACTATAAGTCATACGGACATGTTATTCTTTTTCCTTTTCTCTTGATTTGAATATTGTGAGCAATCCCAAAGTCCTATTCGTCNCTTATCGGTGGCCATACCGATCTAGCCATCGGTACGCGGTATTACCGGTAATATAGGTAGTATTACCTATAAGTATTACCGGACTAGCAAATATAATGATATATATATTTATATATATAAATGTATAATACCAAATGTAAAAAAATAAAAAAATAAATGACCATAATCATTAATTTTGACTTACCAATGAGATAAAAATAAAACATTCTAACTACCGGTATTTTGGACTGAATTTTTCCGATATTTACGGTATGACCCCAATACAAATCGGTATAACCGGAAATCTGGTATTCTGTGTGCAATTATACCGTACCAATGGCCGGTACGGTACGGTATTAAAAAACACTGGATTTGATTACATGTGACCTCCTTTTAAGATTGTTTTTTCATAAGCAAATCTAAGTTTGTCTGGAAAAATATGGGATTCACGCTTATTGTTGTGACACTGAATTTGTGTTGCATCCAAGACAAATGTGCATATGTTTCGGACAAATATGTTCTCTCTGTTTTGAAACTGAATATGATTTCTTTCTTGCAATATTGAATTTTGTTAATTAAATATGTACTTTTAGGTGTGAGTGATGCTAACTCTTTCAATATTCATTGCTTTATCATTAGAATTACAATTGCAAGTTGGTATTTTATAATTTATTTAGTTTGCATGTTATTGCAGTGGTGTTGTCATCAGTACATAGAAAAATCAATCTTTGATAAACAAATGCGCAATTTGGAGTTCATATTCAATTGCGGCAGCTAGTGTTTTGGTCAGTCTTGAAACAAAAGCTCCGGATCAAAATTACCCCAAGCTAGTGGTGTTTGGTTGAGGGTTTCATATGGTTGGTAATTTTACTTTTCCCCAGTTTGGTTGCAAGATTGAGAGCGACGGAATTTTATTTAGAGAAATCCCTCATCTCCCTCACTTTAGGGTATGATTAGTCATAAATTATTCCGTCACTTTTTGACAGATAATTTTTTGAACTCTATTAATTCAAATTTAACTCAACTCAACTATATTCAATATTATTAATATAATTAAATAATATCAATCAATTATTCTCATACATCACATCAACTTCAATTTATGTTCCATCTAGTCACATAGTTTTAATTATTCATAACTCCAAGCACATATCTCATACTTTTACATCAAATCAACTTTAATCATTATATTTTAAATAATATTTTAATACAAACACAAAATTTCACTCAAACTTAACACAATCAAATTTTTTTTTAAAAAAATTAACTCTCGTGATCCAACAAATTCATCAAATTTATAATAACTAGTCGTAGCCCGTGCAACGCACGGGGTAATAGTTATAGATTACATATATTAAAACAATGAAGGGATATTGATTAGTACAAATAGTTTGAAATATTAATAATTATTTTTTATTTTATTTTATGATTTATAATAATTTAATATATGATTTATATGTATATTTCACTCATTATAAAATAATTGTCACTTCAGATCATGTTTATAATTAAAGATAGTGACAATTTAACATATTCAAGTATTGTAAATAAATATTACTCATCTCCATCTTCTCTTGTCCATCCCTTGTTACAACATATTATGTTGATTTCTAAATAAGTTAAGCTAAAGTTGAAAAATTGTGTCAAATATTATAACCAACACTTAATTGGAAAAGATTATAATATATATTGTTTTGAAGTTAAAAATATTTTTTATTTTTTATAGTAGGTTTGTGTATCCTATAGAATAGGTAACAAATTAGTGCAAGTTTGAACTATTATATCACAATCCGATTTAACTAGTGTGTGTAGGTAATTATATTTAAATTATAAATTTAATAAATAAAATATAAGATTTTGTGCGGTTGAATAGAAAATTTGTTTAGGTAGTTTTTTCACGTGGATGTGTGATGAAGAATGAGAAAATATTTTTAGATTGATTTTATCAGATTGAAACCAATCTTGAGTTTGAATCCATTTAAATTTGACTTTTCGAATAAAATATTGTGGAAAAAGATGAATTGCAGTTGATTTGAAATTCTTATTCTATCGTATTTTGATATTTTGATATGAATTTGTATTTTGGATGAATAAATCAATTTTACTTTGGATTTGTATCCGATTTCAATTCCTTTATTGTAGGGCGCATAAGTCAAATGGATGATTCGGCTGTTTTATTTTCAAGTTTATATATAAAAAAAAAAAAAGAAAATCTAAAAATAGTAAGCAATTAATGTTGTCCGAAAATTTTGGTTACTAAATTTGGTAAATGTTAATCTCTTTATATATATATAGAGAGAGAGATTTATATCCAATCAGCCTTTAATTCTCCTTCAAAACTGGAGGAACTTAGAGTACAAAATGACCAATTTATCCTTATTTCCAATTTCTTTTATTTCTTTTCACTTCTTTCAATAAAGGTAAACTAGTTTTTTTCGCTGTTACACATTAAGTGTGTTAGGCCGGTCCACAAAAGCCACAAGACACATCAATCATGATAAAAATTTGACCCATATCGGTTTAGGAGAATGCTCCCCTACTCACGGTGGGCACATGTTAATATGCCCACCATTTATGTGGCATGCACACATTAGTGATGTTAATATGTTAAAAAAAATATATTACCAATGTGTGCATGCCACGTAAGCGGTGGACATATTAACATGTGCCCACCGTGGGTAGGGGAGCATTTCCGGTCGGTTTAGACCCCAAATAATAAAAGGAAAAGCCCAAAATCCCGTATGATCAGTCCAGTATTGTTCTCTCTTTGGCCTGAGCGTCAATTTAGCAGCTGGCGCCTCTTGTTGACTAGTGTTTTAGGCAATTGATCGGTGCATTTGTTAGGAATTTTGGTCCTCTCACCTCTGAGGAGTTTCGGCCCATCACACGGGCGGTGTTGCTTTGTCTGGCGATTGAAATTGGAGATGCTTGGGCCAAAGATGGGGATGTTCGGGTGGTGGGATGGGGCGATGGCAGAGGACCGAATAGTA